GTGTGTGTGTGTGTGTGTGTGTGTGTGTGTGTGTGTGTGTGTGTGTGTGTGTGTGTGTGTGTACATTGGGGAATAGAGTCTGGTGGGTCCTATTTACAGTGCACTGGATATTATAAGGAGTCATCTCCCAGCTACCCTCAGGCTCGGCAAAATGGCAACCTTCTTGGTATAATTGCCCTGCGCCTTGCGGCAATTCTGTAGCTCAGACCCAAGAGTGTGGAAGAGTCCTGTGGGGCTGCACCGGAGCTGCAAAAGGAAGGCTAAGGAATCCTGGTTTGCTGGACTCCAGGTTCAGCCAGCTTACCTGCTAAGGGGGCCACTCGGGAGGGAACAGGAAAGGAAGGTTTGTGATTCAGGCAGAGAAAGTGGGATGGCGGCCAACTGGGGAAAGGTGGATGACTATCCGGATGAAGAATCCTCTTGCCTTTTGAGTCCTACTCACCCACTAGTAGTTATTATTTCAAGGCTGATAATGAGAGTTTCATTTCTTCTTATCCTGGACATCTAGTGCGTACAATAATTTCCCCAGCTTGAAATAACCTCCTCAGCTCCCTGGATGGTTTACTCAGCAGCTATACTACAACAGGCCTGGTCAACAGCAGAGGCTGGCATCACATCCCCAAGTGTGGTTTAGTGGCGGCCCAAGAGGACAGGGTTCTGTTCCATTGTCCTTCCCTGGGCTCCTCTGACTTTGGTCTTGTGGCTGGGCTGCTTCAGACCAAAGGGCCTTTGGGCCAGAATTTTTTAGGAGCCAGGTTGGAGCTGGCCCCTTGACCAAATAAAGCAACGGTTATGCAAACCCAACTGGGTGCTCTTCTGAGGATCGTGGCAGGCAGACAGTGTAAACCACAGCGGAAGGGCTGATTTTGGACAGCCACTGTGGAATTTCCCTTTGTGCAATGAGGCTCCAAATCAAGCAATTTGGATTTTCCTTAGGGGACAAGCACTGTGATCTGTAATTTTTATATGAGACATTTGGCTTACGGGGGCAAGATACCAGGTGTTGGAACTCTTATTACCCAGAGAATACAGCTGTTCCTGTTCTGTCTGCATGAGTACTTAGAATAACTAGTTCCAGAGCCTGGGGCCTACAGAGATTCTTTCAGCTCTAGGGCTGTCCCTCTGATGGGATTTAGTTTACTCAAATCTCCTCTGGATGGCTAACACCTCAAACCGAGCATGTCTCAACAGGGCTGGCTTTGTGGCCCTGTGACTTGTGTAGTCACACAGGGTTCCATGCTTAGAAGAGTCCTGCCCTGCTCTGCTGTCACTGGCTTGAAATTCTTAAGATTTGTGGAACAAGAAGCCTCGTGTTTTTAGCTTGCACTGGGCCCCTAATTTATGTAGTTGATTCTGTATATGAGACTGAACTCATCATCCTTTTCTGGT